ACTCACTGTTTACTATAGCCAGAACGCTGTATGTGTCTTCACTTTCAGGTTAGTTCTTCTGCCGATTTCCCGCAACCAACAACGTGATTTTTTTATTTGGGATTTCGAGAAACTTAACATGAATCGTTATGGCATTCATAACACAACACCTCGCCATGTTACAACTTTTAAGTTGCAAGTTAACAAGGCCTTTCACAGTAGCATTTCTGTGGGATTGACGTACTAGAATGAATGGGTTCAATTATCAGTGTTCACTGATGACATAATTTTACTGGCCCTCTAGAGGCGAAATAACGCCAGGCAAAGCGGAAGTTTGTCGTCTACTTCACAGCCCGTTTTATACCCAATATTTAAGACATTTCGCAGCACATACAAGTTATTTTTATTGACAGAATTCATTCATAGATCTCAAATTTCATGTCCAGAGTGTCACAAGCCACACCTCTGCTCCCCTTTAATGGACGACAGTCAATGGCTTCTGCAACACAACAACGAAGAAATACGGGAGTCTTGCATGTAGAGGAACGCTGGTATTCTGGAGGGCATCGTCAAAAGCAGGAGATCGCAGAGCAGTTCATACAAGTCACACAGAATGATGGTTGTAGCCTGTATCACTTGTCACACTATATCGTAGCAGAACACACTGGAGTACCCAAACTGATGATGGACCCAAACTGTCCTTCGTCTGTCCAATTCATAGGCATGATTCAGTGTTACCACCCGGGTTTCCACATAAACCAATCAGAATGTGATCTTGCTAGCAGCTGTGTCACGTAGGCAACTCAGTAGATCATAAACATCCTTTGTTATTCAAATAACAGCACACCTGGTAGATTCCGATTTTCCTTCCAAAGTTGTAAACATCCTTCTTTATGTAAATTACAAGCACACCTGGGAGAACCCACTGTCCTTCCAGAGTTGAAAACAAGTATGACCTGTCAATCACCTTTATGACAGTTATGACAATGCACACCGCTTCTTCCCATGATTCCGTGCACACTTCCATTTGCAGGGTTTGAGATAATATGACAAAAACATGAAATAAAGGATGTTGACAGCGTGCACATTGACAAATCTGTTTGATTGTTATGTAGTTGTTTTGCAATTAGAATACAGGTAAAATTATAATCTATATTAATTTTTGCTAAAACAATAATGCCGCTTAGAACGATTTTCGTGACATATTTACAAACGCTTAGTCGCTAGGATCGCGAATACTTATTTAGAATATCCATTATGCACATGTGCTGTTTTGTTATTTAAATCCCAGACCGGGAAGTACTTAAGAGTACTGGCACAAAAGGCATGAGTAGGCGTTATCTATTCATCACCGCCGCAAATTACGGGTCATAAATGTGTTTTGTGATGGAATGAATCCAATTGAAGCCCAATGACCCTTAGGTTAAAGAATGGTAGTAGTATCACTAGATGTATTTGTGATTCTAACCAGACAAAATACCTCGACAGATTGTGACGGCTACCGACTATTGCCAACTATATATATGACAGATTTTGTGATGATTAACGTCCCAGTGAAAACGGATTGTTTCAACGTGCATGCATGCTAAAGCCACGATAAAACCAACCAACTTTCAACTATGTTACATCATGGTCAAAGTTTGGTTTATTGGTTTAACCCAACACCGTGTTCAATGTCAATGAGGGAGGAATATGTCACCTGAATACACTTCACATATTTTGTTGTTCATGCATGACTTTTTTGATTTGTTTGTGTTTCAGTTTTTGCTGCCCAACATTTCACGGTCACACCCATCGACCAATCGGCTGTGGTCGGAGACACTGTTACATTCCATTGCACAATTGCTGAGAAAAAAGGTTATCTCACGTGGTTACAAGATGGGAGTCCGCTGAATTTTGACACAGCAATGAGCACATCTAATGCTGACTATTCAATTGTGTATAGTATCTCAACTGAAGGCGAAGCTTTCAATTTACAAATTTCGAACGTTGGGCATGATGATGCCAAGAACTACCAATGTACGGTGACACAGGGAGGTGGTGACAGTGGCGTCATATCTACACAAGTTTCATTGACAGTGACTGGTATGTGCAATGAATCGAAATATTTAACAATAAATAAATTGAACAGAAATAATTTGAATACCGAAAACTGGAAGGGTAACGAATTAGCTTTGCCTTTCCTTTCTTCTTTTTCCAACTCGTAATAAGTCACTTAAGTCCACTTTTATGACAACTGTCTGAACTATTGCAGCTGCCCCAGACTGACTATAATCGTTTGAGGAAATTATATGTTATTAAGACTCCTGTCGAAAATTAATTAGTAAATATTTATATACCGATTACCAAAGGTTAATAAAACATATCACGCGTAAACAATTGAAGAACCATTACTTATAATTCTCAACAGACAGCGTTCCCCAAAGCTTCTCCAGAACTCCAAGTGACGCTACTATATTGGTTGGCAACTCAGCTGTAGTGGAATGTGCAATCAGCGATAAAGAAGGCACTGTCATTTGGTCAAAGGACGGAGTTGACATTAGCAGCGACGCCACGATCACCAATGGTGATAACAGGTTTTCAATTACTGGGAACCAAAACAATGGAGAATATAATCTACAAATTGTAAACGCAGACACTCAAGACGCTGGGACATACGCTTGTCGTGTGACAGCTTCCGGTACCAGTGCTCAAATTGGACCTATCCCAGCATTATTGAGAGTTCAAGGTAAGATGATGTTCTTTGGGTTCTTGGGATTCACATAAATGTACACGTGATACTTAATAACCAACGATAAGGTGTATGGCGATCAAAATGAGTTGTTGCTCCTATTAATTTAGAGTAGTGTTCATATGAAATAATAATTTAC